AATTGTACATTAATTGATTTTATAATTATTAATATTGTTATAACACTTACTTTATACACTACTGGACACTCAACCAGGTTGCTATAGAATATCAGTACTGTATTGTATAGAACTATCACCACACTAAGTAAATACAAAGGAGATATTTATTAGTAGTAGTGTTACCTATTCTAATTAAATAGAATAGAAGAAGCTGCACTGCGTCGCGATCCTAAAAGCAACTGGATTGAATCATTGAAATATCAAAATAGACGTTGGTTGAACACTCACATCATGAGATTATCTATCTGAGCCTGGGACTCATGACAACGTGGAGGAAAACGATGACTGGGATGTGACTAGAGATGGCGCAACAAGTATGTAACGCTTATTTGTCACCTGTTGTAACACGTTGCAACTCCAAAATTTTATAAGCCACAACTAGTTGCAACTAGGTGATGCTTTATTTGTCATCATGTTGCAACAGTTGCCACTAAGGTTGCTTGCCAAAATCTCTTAGTGACTGTCTAAATTTTGTCGAAATTATAATAAACTATTAGTAAATAATCTGTCAAAATTCTGACGAATTTTGAAACCTGTCGTAACTGAAATTATGTTGAAATTCTAATTAACAATTAGTGTGTAACCCATCAAAATTATGATGATATTTTTCTGAAAGGATTTAGGCAAGTATCCTTAGTTGCCACGCCATCTTTAAATGCGACCAGCATCTCTTGAATGACAACTACAACAAACGACAACAGTAACGGCAACAACATTGGTGACAATAAAAGTAACGGCAACGGTGATGGCGAAATTCTAAACAACATAAAAGAAGATATTAACGAAGACCAGGAAGACACACTATCACAGCTCTCTCGTGCTTTCAGCGATGAGAGAAATGATCAATGCTGGTGGTCTAAAATCCAGCGAGAAAGAAATCGCTATCGCAAAGAGCGAAAAAATGACAAAATAGCATTTCCCTAAAAGAAACGTGAAATTCCAGAAATTACTACACCCACACGTCAAAATAATATAGAATATAACAGTAGCAACACTCACCAACATAGAAAAGGCAAAGAAAAAGTAATAAACTCGCCAAATTCACCCGGAGGCTCGCAAATTCCAAGAGAACAATGGTGAAACTGTGACACTTTGCTGAACAAAATGCGTGAAGTGCAAGCGCACTTTCCCTACAAAAAATGAAATGAAAACAAGAATAGAAGTGGCTGTTTACTCAAGAATAATAGAATGAAAGCCAATATAGAAAATGCACAACCCTTACAACAAAGAATTAGCAATAATATTGTCATCATTTGATATTTTGAATCATATGTAAAATATCATGTGACATATTTTGATAATTATTTATATTTCCTTTTATATTTTTCTATTTATAATTTTA